ACCTGAGTTACTAAAATTTATAAATAGTTAAGAATTTGTATTCTGTTCACTACCAAGTTGACTTTTTAGATAGTTCAATGGTGCTTTATAGAGGAATCGATATCATAATTGTAAATATAACAGTGAACACAGTAATATGGCTGGATATTCAAAAAGGCAGGTTGCAACATATTCAGTAAGGACAACAAAATCATCTTAATTAAAAGTATGTTGAGCAAACTTAGAGGAATTTCCTCCCATAGTGTTCAGTTTGGAATCCTGGTGTGGCGCTGTAGGATCATCACTGGACAGTGGACCACAAGGTCAGCAGTTCAAACCCACCAACTGCTCCTTGGAAACATATACAGGGTTGCTATGAGTTGGAACCGACTCGATGGCACTTAACAACGGTGTTAGGTTTGGGAGCATGGTGACTCTAGAGGATAAGCAGTGGACTGCAAACCACAAGGTTGACTGTTCAAGTCCACCAGCCATGCTGCAGGAGACAGATGAGGCTTTTTGGACTCACAAAAGATTTACAGCTTCAGAAAATTACCTCTGAAAATTAGCCAAATTATGGTTCACAACGGAACACTGTCTGGCTCACTTGCTTTGGACATGTCGTGATGAGGGATCCATCACTAGGGGAAGACATCATGTTTGGTGAAGTAGAGGGCCAGTCAGGGAAAGTGAAACTCTCAAGGTAGACTAGTACAACAGCCATAATAATAAACTTGACCATACTAGTGATTATAAAAACGACACAGAACCAGGCAACGCTTCGTTCTGCTATACATAAGATCAACTCAACAGTAGCTATCTAGTGTTCAGTTAGCTTTAAGCAGCTAAGAAATCAAAGATAAGTAAGGCAAATCAGTAATGTTTGATCTTCTCAGGGTACACATTGTATATTTGTACTGATTTAACTATAGGCCTTTTGAATAATACCAATATAATGGAAGAAAATTTGATTCTGACTAGTAATGTAGCTATGGCTATTTCACTCCAGTCAGATCTCAGATAATTATTATAGCCCTTCACCTGAGGTAAAGGTAGTATTTTCTAAGTTAAATCTAGTGGCATGAGTGCTGTAAATGATGGTGAAATAACAAGGAAGGAAAGCAGATATTAAATAATGGGGAGTGTCTATACCACATTGGTGCTCTGACTTCTTTCATATTGAACTGGCATGATATAGTTTAGAATAGAGAGCTGATCTCTGGCATCCTCCAGAACCACGGAGATTCTCAGCACATCTAGCAGGGAGAGTGGTAGCTCCACATATTCTGGGATGATCTTCATTTCTGTTTCTTGGGCTGTTTCTTCATCTGTTCCTAGACTACTAGGTGGTTCACCTGTCACTGACATCATCACCTCAGAGTTCCAAACTGTGAGAGGAGTAATGTCAGAAACATTCTGCTGATCACTAAGAAAAGAATAAAGGAAAAAAATGCATATCAACCACTAATGTTGAAATATTCCTTAAACTCAAAAGCACAGATAGTAATAAACTGGCTTCTGTGAAGTCTATGTTGTCATATAGCATAACCTTGATGAAAACATCAGTGATTCTGCTAAATACTTTCCAGTAATATTTTGACAAATCAAAGGTGAGAAACCTACTGTTTAATAAAGATATATAGCCCATGCTATCTGGTCATACTCAACCAATTTGAATTTGAGCCTAAATTATAATTTTTCTAACAGTATCTTTAGCTGTTAAACAAAAGTATCTCATGATTTTACCATTAGTAAAATGGTAGCTGGCCTCCCAAGGTGGTCCAAACAATGATCACTTCCTGGTACGGATGCTCTTGTGTATTCTGTCCCACACTGAACAGAACTGAGCTATGTAATCATAGTTACATAAGGCAATCTGGTGGCATAGTGGGTTATGCATTGGGTTGCTAACCTCAAGGTCAGCGGTTCAAATCCACCAGTCGCTCCATGGGATAAAGATAAGGCTTTCTGCTCCCATCAATATTTACAGTCTCAGAAACTCTATATAGGGTCGCTATGATTTGGAACCAGTTCAACAACTACCATGTAACTAATATGACATTCTGGGTAGTATAAATGGTTAACATACTTAACTACTAAAAAAAAGGTTGGAGGCCTTGAAAGAAAGCTCTGTCAATCTGCTTCCAAAAAATCAGTTATTACATAACATAGTCCACAAAGACAATGTTCTTTATTCTACTTTTGTGAGTAGTGACTGGGATCTTAAAAACTTATGAGTAGCCATCTATGATGCAACTATTGGTCTCTCCCTATGTGGAGGAAAGAAGAATGATGAAATGCCTGTAATTAATTAGTCCAATGAACTAATGAAACATGTGAACAATGGTCTCAACAATCTTGAGATCAGAAGAACTACATGGTGCCCAGCTACCAGTACCAACTGCTCTAAAAGGGATCATATTAGAAGTTCCTGGAAAGAGTGGGAGAAAATGCGGAACAAAATTCAAAATTATAATAATAATAAAGCCTGAAGGAATCCAAGACTATGACCCTCAGTCACCCTTTAGGTCTGGAACTAAACTTACCCCTCGTAGCTCAATTTTCAGCCAAGCAGTAGATGGAGGAAAACAACACTAGTGAGGAATGTACACTATGGAATGGTCAATCATTCAAGATCAAAAGAGCTGAGTTTACTTATGGACAAAATTCAGAAGAGCTGGGAAAGAAGGTTGAATGGAAACACGAATCACAGGAAGGAAGTAGGATTACTGATGCCACATTGAGCGGATTGCAGTCATTGAAATGAAATGAAACACATGACTTGCTGAATGTAAAACTGAGGGTCTGCTCTGTAAACCTTTACTCAATCCACAATAAAACGTGTTTTTTGTTGTTGTTGTTGTTTTTAAATCAGCCACTGAAAACCCTATGGAGCATAGTTGTACTTTGATATACATGGGGTCACTGTGATAGTTAAGGGTTTGTGTCAACTTGGTTGAGTGAGGATTCTCCGTGGTTTAACAGTTAAGATGAGATCTAATATGTTGCAATCACTCCATGATGTGGTCTGATGTGATCAGCTCTGATCTGATCTAATTATCCTATGTGTTGTAAATCCTCACTTCTGTGATTTTAATGAGATCAGATGCAATATCTAGGGTTAGGATGTATCTTGAGTCCATCTCATTTGATTTATAAAAGGAGAGGGAAGTGAGCTGAGCTCAGAGGGCTCTACTGACTACGAGGAGAGGAGTGCATTCTTTGGACCTGAGGTTATTGCTCTGTGAAACTCCTAAAACAGGGGAGCACTGATGCCAAGATGTATGGAGATCGCCAAGGAATCCTGGGCCTACAGATGCTGAAAGGGGACAAGAACCTTTCCCCAGAGCTGACATACAGAAAACCTTCCCCTAAAACCAGCACTTCACCTGTGATATCTGTGATATAGCTGCATTAGATAACTGAGACCATTACCTATAACTAATAGGCTAACTGTGGAAATGACACTGTTACTTCTAAGGCTAGGGGAAAAAAGACATTTCACCTTCCACTTTACTTTCACTTGGATCTGTTGTTCTGGGGAAGCCAACTGCCTTGTCATGAGGACACTTAAACAGTCCTATGAAGGGATCCAGGAAAGTAATGAACAAGGCCTCTTGCCAACAGCCACCATCAACCTGTCAATTCTGCAAATAAACCATCTTCAAACTGGATCCTCCAGCTCCAACTAAGTCTTTAGATGCCTACCACCTTGGTCAACTTCAATCTTATGAGAGACCCCAAGCCAGACCATCCAGCTAAACTGCTCAAAAATTCCTGATCCTCACAGACTCTGTGAAATAATGTCTATATTCTTTGTCACTTTTACATTTGGAGGTAATTTGTTACACAGCAAAAGAAAATACACAGAAATTTAACAGAATGCATAGTGTTTACAATATATATAAAAGAAATTAGAATGTTGAACATACTTTTCCATCCTACTTGAATCAGCACTGTCTTCCTCCATGGTACATTTATAATTTCATAAAAATGCAGCCAACTAAAATGAAAAGAGGAAAATGAGATTAGTTTAAGGGGGTACTGACTGATGCTTCAGAGATTTCTAGGCCCTGTCATTAAGAGAAGATAAAAGAATTACAAGAGCTATGGCAGACTGGCCCCCTCCCTTAGTTTTCACTTAGCAGAGCTGTCCCAGAGATTAAAGAACCACTGATACCACTTTGTGCAGGTCATTAAGCAGCCAATTTAATTAGTGGTCTGTCAAAGCTGAAGATAAATGAATTATTAGAGACTCTTGTTAAGGTAAATTAATGCCCAACATGGTTTTAATGTCTTTTCTTGACTCTGTTTTTTCATTGGAAATCTCCATATGATAGTTTTTTTTTTTTTCAACTATTCTGTTTACTAGAATATTTAATTAGATCATTTCATTCCTTTAATCTTCCAGATCACAGAATTTATTGTGGCACTGTGGGTTAATGCACTGGACTGCAAGGTCGGTTTGAACTACAAAGGTTGGCAGTTTAAGCTCACCAGTTGCTCCTCAGAAACCCTATAAAGAATCACGATGAATCGGAACTGACTTAACAACAACAACACTTAGCACTTAACAACAAGAACAAATGTAGCAAAGGGGAGCATGGAGGCTTTGTACAATAAGCTCTGGACTATGAACCACAAGGTCAACAGTTCAAGCCCATCAGCAGCTCTGTAGGAGAAAGATGAGGCTTTCTGCTCCTGTAAATATTTACAGTCTCAGAAACCCGATTCAGGGTCACTGTGAGTTGGAATCAACTCAAGGGCACTTAGCAACAACAACAGTGTTAGAAGAACAATTAAGTTTGTACTTTAAAAAACAAATTATCCTGGAAATTAGTTATATATTGTTATTAAGATAGTATCCATCATAGGTAAATTATTTTAGCAATTTTTCTGCACTCTCTATGGAAAATAAAATGTGAGTGTGATTTTTCCCACAATAAACTGGCAATTTTTCTGTACTCTCTACGGAAAAGTAAATGTGTGATTTTGCCCACAATAAAGTGGCTCTGGGGGGTGCAGTGTGGTACAAATATAACACTCAATAAAAATCTTATATCTAAAATTACAATCATAGACAGGTCCACTCAACGCAAACCCCCTTGCAAGACTAAGACTCATTGGAAATGCACGCTCT